GGGTTGTGCCGGCGCGCCCCCCCTGGGGGGCCGGGGGGGGAGGGCCCAGGGGTGAAGGGGGAGACGCCGCGGGGGCCGGGGGGCCTCCCCCAGCCCGCCTCCCCCCGTTTCGGGAAGCCCCGCATCCCCGCCGAAACAGCACTGCCCAATTCGGCAGACAAGGAGGCAGCACCGTTGGCATTAACAGTAAAAACGGGCCGACACAGGGGGCATGCATTTTATTTAGATTTGACCCACGCCACGAAGAAAAACTCCCCCACATCACTTTTTAAAAATGGGGGGGGGATGAACTTCCCAGATTTGGGCTCTGCCCAATTGGGGGTCCCTCGGGCAACCCCTCCCTGCCAAAACGCTCCCTGCCAGTCTGAAATGACCCAGGGTGTATTTCAGCCATGGTTTTTTGCAGCCGGCAGAACCAGATCCTTGACTTCAGTTTTTGAAGACCATCCGAGAGGGCAGAGAGCTGACTTCTAGGCTCAGGTGCCCTCCGGAGGGGCTAGCCACCTTCCTTTCTCCCCAGTTGGATGACAGAGCTTGGTTTCTGTAAACACGCTATGCTAATTCGCAGGAGACCGGAGAAAAGCCACCAAGCAAAGCTTTCTCTCGGGCCAACCATCCTCACAGGGTTGTTGTTGTGGGGGAAAAACAAGGAATGGCGCACTCTGTGTACCACCTTGAGCTCTGGAGGAAAGGCAGGACAAAACCTTCACAGATAAACACAACCCTTGGGATGAAACACCTTCCCACAACCAGTTCCTTCAGCTCACCTTGTCTCCAGCCAGAACTTTGAAGGAAGCGATGACTTGGTCAGCTGTGTCTGTGTCTGTTGTCTCCCGGGACATGAAGTCGATGAAGGCTTGGAAAGTCACCACGCCGGTGTTGTTGGGGTCCACAACACTCATGATCCGGTGGAACTCTGCATCGCCCTGACAAAGGATGGCCGGGAGAAGAACAAGAATGAATTCTCCTCCAGAAGGGTGGCAGCTCGGTCCACTTTTGAAGGGTTCTGTCACACAACACGTGCCGAAGGGGAAGCTCTTGAAAGTTCACCATCGCTGGTAGATTTCTCATCTTCGGCAAGGTTAAGATGTGTGGATTTCAACTCCCAATTCCCCAGCCAACACACATGGACTTCAACTCCTCTGCTGGCTGGGGAATTCTGGGAGTTGAAGTCCACACAGCTTAAAGTTACCAAGGTTGAAAAATATCGATTTATACCACACCAAACCACTTCAAGGACCAGCTGCCTTGCCAAAGAAACCTCCCTTATGACTACTACTAATTTGCAGTGATGGTCTGAATTCACCCACAGGGAATCTGGATGTTAGAGGTCTGTAGCATTAGGAACTGCAGCTGTGCTAAGTCTTCCCTACCAGATGTGTGTCAGGTTTCAATTCCTACAGTCCACAGGTGGAAAGTCCCACATATCTGAAGGGGACCTGAGTAGGGAAGGGTGCAATTAAACAACCAGTTAATGTCCCCCCAAAATAATTGAATTGCACCAGGCAATAATTTTAGAACTCTTTTGCTCCCGCTTTCAACGGACCACATTCATTTTTCCATCTGAGTCTTCTGGGGAAGCTTACTCTGTTATGCAAAGGAACCACAACAGGCCGGTGATATCTGCTTTGTCCAAAGTAGAGGGTAGGTTCAAACCAGATATCATGGCTAGCAGGTGACCGAATGACCAAGGCTCCTTCGGAGCAGACCTGGGAGGGCAATCCTTACTAGGCTGAAGGACCAGGCCGATGGAGTCTCAGATGCCCTCTGGATTCCCCCTGGAGTAAAAGTAATCTTAACAAAACCGTCTCCCCAAGAAAACTCCTCCTTCTTCTAACCTTCAGGGTTGCTAACTTTAACCTGCTTGAAGGCAGAACCACCACCGAAGCTTGCAGAGAAGGGTCAACAGTGTTCAACAGTGTTCAACGGAACAGGTGGGGCTGGGGAGCTAAAAGGTTTGCCACAGGGTCTCTAGTTTGGATTGGGGTGCATCATTCATCCTTTGAACATGGCTGCAGTGGGCAATGGGAAAAGAATCGGGAAGGGTCTTTCCTTGTAAGGAGGTGATGGATGGAGAATACGCGGTTCTTTATTCACGTCCGACCTGGGTCCTGTTCACAAGCTTTTCCCCAGAGCAGCTGCCCTGCCCTTTTCAAGTAGCATAAAGGCATTGGAACGGATTAAACCAGTGTTTTTCAAACTTGGCCACTTTAAGATGTGTGGACTTCAACTCCCAGGCTGGCTGGGGAATTCTGGGAGTTGAAGTCCACACATCTTAAAGTGGCCAAGTTTGAAAAACACTGGTTTAATCCGTTCCAATGCCTTTATGCAGTTGAAGTCCACACATCTTAAAGTGGCCAAGTTTGAAAAACACTGGTTTAATCCGTTCCAATGCCTTTATGCAGTTGAAGTCCACACATCTTAAAGTGGCCAAGTTTGAAAAACACTGGTTTAATCCGTTCCAATGCCTTTATGCAGTTGAAGTCCACACATCTTAAAGTGGCCAAGTTTGAAAAACACTGGCTTCAACAATGCAGCTCAGTGTGGGGATAATTTAGTGCTTTCTAGCCTTAGTACTTATGCCCCCCCAGAGTATGCCCGAGTTCCCCTCCCCAACTTTGCCCTTGCAGATGACATGCAAGGCCAGCGCCAAGGAGGGCAGAGCGATGTTGGGCTGGAGCAGCGGCGTCAGAGGGAGCGAGAAGAAGAGAAAGGGAAAAGCGGAGGGCGTACCAGGCTGTATCCCGTGGAGATAAGGAGGGCTCTGTAGTCGTCTGCATCCATGCTCCCTGTGCGCTTCTATTCCAAGCAGCCAACAGAAAGGAAGGGAGGAAGGAAGGGAGGAAGGAAAGACGGAAGGGAGGAAGGACGGTGGTGGGTGAATGGCGATGGATGAAGCATGCCAAGGTCAAAGATGAAAAGAGCATCAGCCCCATGGAAGGAGGAAAAGACGCAGAAAGAGAAAAGTCAGTCGGAAAGTATTTGAGATGCCGTGTCAGCACAAGGGGTCAGGGAGGAGCAGGCCAGGGGATCAGATACCAAACACCAGCACAATGGTCAGAGGAAAGGGAGACAGAACGTGGTGAAGGAAGAGAGAAAGGAGATCGGTTAATTGCAATCGTCACTGGCGGGCGGCGCGGTTCACGGGCAGCGGGTACCTGTCGGTCATTCTCCACATCGTATCCCAAGCTGATGAGGCAGGCCTTGAACTCTTCCGGTCCCAGGGAGCCGCCGTGGTCCTGCCACCGGGCCGCGGGTAGGAGGGGGTGGAGGGCACAGCACGCCCGTCGAGGGAAGGCGGGGGTGGCAGGCAGCCCCCCCGTGCGCGCAAGGAAGGTGGAGCAGAGGGGAAAAGACACGCCGTTAGTTCAAGGCTGGCTGCTCGGGGGAGATCAAAACCACTCCGGCCGCCCAGCCCAGACAGGAAGCGGGGCCAGAGGACGCCTTCCCCCAGAGCCTCAGCCGGAAGGAGGCAGAGGAAGGAGAGGCCAGCGAGGCACCGCCGAGTGACCTTCCCTCCCTGCTGAAGCCGGGCAGATGTCGTGCTGCTGGAAAGCCGTTGCCCAGGAGGGCAGGCACACCGTCTGTGCCGGGGCAACGCAAACCGCGCTCCACCGCTTGGAGGGGGGGAACCAGGTGGAGCTGCAACAGGTTCGTCCTCACCTCTTTTTAGGTGACAAGCAAGGGCAAGAACATTATGGGATGGCCCCAGCACCCCTTGATCAAAAAGGCCCCTTGTTTAAGGGACCAGCAGAAGGATGTTAATAGGAGGTTTCATTATCTGGGTGGGGCAGGGGCATAACGAGACAACGTCCCATTTCATACCAGCGAGGTACGCGGTATCTGCTACACGTATCTTAGACCTGGGTTAAGAAAACCCAGATTCTAATCCCTGTCCAGAATCGGGTGACCCTGTCTCAGGTTGGGCTCCCTCTTTTAATGACAGGATTTAAACCCCTGAACTAAGATGACAGTTAGCAGGGCCTGGGAGTAAAAGCGAACAACAAACGAACACACACCCATCAACAATATCCTTGGCGTGGACTAAGATGCCCACCGAAGGCACCCCCAGGCCAGCGGCACCCCCCGGTCTGTTCTACCCCTAAATCAGAATATGAGAAATGGGGCCCAACGGCACAGCTTCCTTTCTGAGAGCAAGGCCCGGCCTCTCTCTTACAAAGAGACAGAAAGCGCGCGTGTGTGTGCACACACGGGTGAAGCGAAATCTGCTCCCGAAAGACGTTCTCCCTGGCCAGCCCAGTTCTCACGCCCAGGTTACCTTGTCGAAGTGGTTGAAGGAGGCCCGGAACTCCTGCATCTGCTCCTGGCTGATCCCTTTGGCGTCCCGGGTCAAGATCTGGTTCTCCACCTCGTTGATGGTCCGGGCGATGGTGGTCAGGAGCTGTTCCCATCCGACCCGGATGTGCTGGACGTGCAAGTGGAAGGAAGAGGAAGAAACAGCTGGAGCAACTTAATCAGATCCCCCTTACGTCCAACCAGCAAGACGGCTGCAAACCAAGCAGGTGCTCGGCTGACCCAGGAGCCCCTCCCGACTGGCTTTCTTTCAAGTCACTCCGCGGTTTTCGTCTTGCGCTGGACGCTTGTCTGAATGAAGGTTATTTTTAGCCAGGCATCTGCTTGTTTAACAGACACACAGGCTGAAACGATGACAATGAAAGCAACACCCGGGCACATTTCAAACGAGGATGTCAACGTTGAATCTACCCATTTGGTGAGAACGCAGGGAGAAGGCCTGCTGAGAGCACACACACGCGTGTCTCCCCGGTGCGTATTTAGTTATTTATTAAAATTATAGCCCAACTCCCTCACTAGTCTGGACAATGTGCAGAATAAAACAATGAATACTATACAATGTCAAAAGCAAGCAACTGGAAAAAGAACATCCATTCTGAAGAACCAGCCAGCCCGCAAGAGGTCCGCCACCCATCCGCTCTAGCCCAAAGCCTGATTTTAAGGGCTTGTTTGAAGAAGGGCAGGGTGGGGGCCGAACAAATCTTGCGGGGGGGGTTGATGTAATTCTGAGAGCAGGCACTACCACAAAGAAGGCCAACTTCTTTGGTCCCATCAGATGACACTGTTTAATGCACGGCACCTGGAGCATGTTGACTCCGCGGGATCACATAGGATGGGTGGAGGGACACAGACCAGGTGGTGGAGCTCTTCTCTTGTGACCCATGTGCCCTGGAACCCCTTCTCTGAGGAAGTTTGTCCAGCCCCTCCCGCCTGGCATTTTGTGAAACTGCTAAATCAACCCTATTTCACCCTGTTTTTAACCCTAGTTGATTGTTTAGAGGTGGTCACCTTGGAGAGAGTTTATGAATTTTGTGTGTCTTTATGCTGTGCTCTGTTGGACACCCCCCAGAATCTGCAGATTGGGGCAGGACATCAAAACTATAAACAAACCAACTATAAGAATTCCCCCTTTGGTCTCTCTTATCTGACCTTGTCCCAACTACACAACTCATCTTCATCCCAGGGACTCTTGGATGTTTTTAAACTTCCCCTCGCCCCTTACCACAATGGACTTCTCAGAGCCTGGGACAGGCGATGGTAATTCAAGAAATATTTCAGAGCTGGCCCATCAGCTCATGTCTCCCCACTGAGGAAGCAAGCAGTAACTTCCCCAGTATTTCAGAAAATGGTCAGCACAAAGATCAAAGAATCCTTGCTCTAAAGAACTTGCTGATAAACACAGTGCTGGTGCTGAAGGAGCATAACTTGTCTCCCAAACTCTGTAACTTAACGCTTTTTCCCCTTCATCTGTTCGTTAGACCCTGAGAATCTAGCCGCCTTACTGGTAAGCAGCTGCGAGGGGCTGGACACTTACTTGGAAGTTCCGCCTTTTACTGACACTTACCAGAACCACCTACCCAACTTCCCCATGGATCCCCTTGGCTGTTCTTACCTCCATGGTGTAGTTAGTGTGCTTGTTGTCGAAGATCAGGGCCTCCTGGATGAGCTGGTGCTGCTGTTCCAAGATGTCGATGTTGGGTTTGTATTCAACGATGTTCAGCTCGTATTGCTTGAGGTGGTTCAGCTGGTCCTCCAGGGTGCCGTTCATCTCAATGGAGATGCGTCCAATCTCCTGGTCAAGGGAAGGCAAATGGGTTGGGGTGACATGAGCTTGGAAGACTCATATAAAGGAACAGAGACCACTGATCCTGGAATCTGACAACTGGTGCCCTTAGTTTGGTTGGAATCTGGCTCCTCTTGCCAGCAGAACCCCAGATGGTCTCCTGGCAGCAATGAAGGACCAAAATGCCAGTGTGTTTGTGGGACAATGAGTTTTCCTTCAGAGGAGTTTATGGGTTGGATAGTATGTGAGTAGGGGTATGTTTTTGGTTTTTCTGTTAGTGGGATATTTTCAGTGAGTGTTTCTGGATGTACTTAAGAAGCCAGCTATTTTGCCTGTGTTATGCATTCCTGGTTTTTGATTGCTCATTGTTTCTTTGGGGTGCACTTATGTGGTTGTGGGGGGTATACTTGCAGGGGTTGGGGTGCTCTGCTCTTGCATTGGTAAGATTTCTCCTTTCTGGCAACGGGGTTCTGGAGAGCTGGGTGGTGGGCACGTGCGTTCTTCTTGCAGTTTTTGCAAGGGGGGTCTGGGGAGATTTGAAAGCTGTTGGGTTCTTGGGTCAGATATGTGTTGAAGCGCCCCTTGAGGGAGAAATCCTGTGCTTTTGCCGTTGGGAGAAGAGGACAAGGAAGCAACTTGCAGGTGAAGTCGGATCCTCTTTGTACGGAGGCGAAGGAAGAATCAGATTTTGTAGCAAAAAGTTTTGCTTCAGAACAGGGCTTTGGTAAACTGCTCCTACCACATACCCCTGTGCACTGGCAGGAGGGTTGGATGGGCACAAGAACAAACTGGAAATACACCAGGATTTCAAGAACATAGAAGCTGGACTGATCATGCTGGACTAAGACACAGTTTACTAAAGTGCGGCTTATAATTTGCCAACCACAACGACGGGCTTCTTGCAAGATGCTGAGCCCAAATCAAACAAACCACATTATGGCTTCGTGCCACAGTAAACCATAGTTAAAAGAACTTAGAATTCATAATTTTAAGCCGTATTTTCAG